AAATTTCTTTAATAAGCATTGTAGTAGACAACTGACATAAGAAATAAAACAAAATATGGCTGGCGAATAAATTATTCGATAGCATTTGCCATACGTATTTTAGTACGACCCGATTAAATTTCAATCGCAACTTCTCGGGCATTTTCTACAAGCAGAAAAACAACGTTTCAGAAATTGATTGACGTTTCATTCACTGTTAAGATTGTAGATAATACTCAGCTGTTTAGACCATAGCTTGAGCATATGAACACTCTTTTGTTATGAATCTAAAATATTAGTCTATGTTACTGCAAGTCTATTTATGATTCTGAACCATTTCTCTATTATTCTGTTAATTGGAAGCGAGGAAATTCTGGAGCTCGTACACAGGGTTAGAATGTACATGTAGACCTATTAATAGTCGACGCAAACAGGCAAATTAAGATAAGATCTTTTACACTTATAAATGAACATAAATGCCCGACTACAACGAACCTCTCATGTATGCCGCACTAACATGTACATTGATGCAAATGATACAGTGTATCTATTTTGTAAACAAATTAGACTGTATCTTGTACAGTGTTGTAAGTCCTCTAATCACATTTCAAATCTTGTAGCTGATAACACCAAAATACAGAATGTTAATTTTAGCAAATATTATTTATTTTACAATCTTAAATCATGAAAAGAAACTGACAAAATGAAAATAAATTATAAGTGAATGTTGAACATACATGTATTTACTTTGTGGGAAATAAACTGTAGCTTTTGTAGATTTTCAGTCAGCATGTACATGTTCTTAACAGATGATGTAAAAACTTAGATGAAAGTATATGCTGTGAATACAGGAATATTATGTGTTAACATATGAATTTATCATTAATTAATTAGGAATGGCTGAATTATTTACTCTATTTTTTTTTTCATGATCAAAGTAGTGGAATCATGTAAAAAGATATCACACAGTCTTCCTTCTGTCATTCTTGAAGGCATTTTGCAAAACAAACTTTAAAACTACACTGACTTTCATATTTTGAATATTGCCCAGGCTAAAGTTGTTCCTTAATAATACATATGAAAAATATAAACGTGATGAAATGTGGTTAAAATTGTGTGATTAAAACATTGATGACGAAAATTCTTAAATCTAGATAACTTTAGAAACTTGGGAAAAGTTTTTATGTCATATAATATGGAAGAATTATTTCTTTTAAGATTTAATAGGACAGGGGGATTCAATCAGCACTTTTAAAAAAGCTTCAGAATTTTTATTTAATATTCTCAATTAGAGAAATTTTTATAATCTGGGGTACTCAGGGTAGTGTTGAACTTTTTAATTAATGTACAGTTTTCTTAGGTAACGGGTGGATTTGCCCCGATCACATGTTTGCTCTGCATGGTTTCGCCTCGAGTTGTTTCGCCCTTATTATACCAATTAATTATAAGTGTTAAAATTTTGCACTTATGGATTTTCGCAGTTTGTTCTGACAAATCGCTAATGTTCTATGCTTGTGTTTTTGTGTGTGTGCTATGGGTAATCCACTCAGGGCAAACAGGGAATTGGGTTGAAACCACTCATTAATCACTCAATATATTGAGCAGATTTGGTTCTGCTTTGATATATTACCTTGTTGTTGCATTCATAGTCCATTTAAATGAACTATAATAACATTGCATGTGCACAATCTAAGTAAAATCTGTCAGGCAGAATATTAGACAACTTAAAAAATTGATAGATCCACCCCTGTACATTATTTATTTGTTTACATCCTTGAAATGAATGAATTATGGCAGCATGTTGAGTTCATACATTTTTTGGAGACGAGGGTTTCTGATCTTGTTGGGAGTGGTAGATGTGAAAACCCTTGGCCTGTGTAAATGGTAAATATCTTAATGAATAGGCCTAGAATACTTAAACACTGTGCAGAAATTATGACAAACATTCTCAAAGGATTATGATTTAACGTTATGTATTATTACTTTATGAAAAAGAAGATAAATTTATAATTTTCTTTTATATAGATGTTACTGTCACTGTCTTACTGAATAAAAAGTTTGATACCAATCATGACTATGATTTGTCATAGGTACAACGATTCAAGCTGATAAAGAAATTAAATGCACAGTGGAACTGAAACTTTAATAAATGGGCAATATTTCTCAATCTAGGATTAGAGACACAACATCAATAACCTTAAATGTGTAATTTGTATAGCAGAGCATACATGTATTTGCTAGCATTTTGTTTTACTCAAGGATACAAAAGATGTGCAGTTTTAAGTACAGTCAAACCTTGTTATTTCAAACTTGATGCGATAAAAAAAAAATTATGGTATCCAAGGGTTCGACAAATTGAGGGTAAATTACGTTAAGAAAATTTCTTTGGTTAATGCATCAACACCAGGACTGGTGTCATATTCATTCTTTTCAGTGTTTCTGTTGCTTCTCTAAAAGTTATTTCCCCTTCTAAATTTACATTTCCTTCCAAAGAGAGCTTATTGAATTTATTAAATGCTTGATCTTTTTCCGTTTCTCTTATGCTGAATTTCTATTTTTGTTTTGATATAAATTTTCATAATATTTACATAGTTTCTCTAATATATCTGTCTGATTCAAAATAGATTCACTCCCTTCCATCTCTACTTTTTAGCTCACCTGAGCCGAAGGCTCAAGTGAGCTTTTCTGATTGAAATTTGTCCGTTGTCTGTCGTCGTTGTCGTTGTCGTAGTCGTCGTTGTCGTAAACTTTTCACATTTTCATCTTCTTCTCAAGAACCACCGGGCCAATTTCAACCAAACTTGCCACAAAGTGTCCTTGGGTAAAGGGGATTCAAGTTTGTTCAAATGAAGGGCCACGCCTTCTTCCAAGGGGAGATAATTATGAATTCATGAAAAATTAATGGCATCATTTAATATCCTCTTCTCAAAAACCACTGTGCCTGAAAATATGAAACTTATATGGAAGCATCCTCAGGTAGTGTAGATTCAAGTTTGTTCAAATCATGACCCCCGGGGGTAGGGTGGGGCCACAATGGGGGATCAAAGTTAGGAATACATAGGAAAAATCTTTAAAAATCTTCTCAAGAACAGCAAAGCCTTCATGGGTCATATTTATATGGAAACATCCTCAGGTAGTGTAGATTCAAGTTTGTTCCAGTCATGACGCCCAGGGGTAGGGTGAGGCCACAATGGGGGATCAAAGTTTTACATAAGAAAACATAGGAAAAATCTTTAAAAATCTTCTTCTCAAGAACAGCAAAGCCATCATGGGTCATATTTATATGGAAGCATCCTCAGGTAGTGTAGATTCAAATTTGTTCAAATCATGGCCCCCGGGTGAAGGGTGGGGCCACAATGAGCGATCAAAGTTTAAATAGAAATATATAGGGAACATCTTTAAAAATCTTCTTCTCAAGAACACCAAAGCCATGATTGGTCATATTTATATGGAAGCATCCTCAGGAAGTGTAGATTCAAGTTTGTTCAAATCATGACCCCCAGGGGTAGGGTAGGGCCACAATGGGTGATCAAAGTTTTAGATAGGAATATATAGGGAACATCTTTAAAAATCTCTTCTCAAGAATATTAAAGCCATGATTAGTCATATTTAAATGGAAGCATCATCAGGTAATGTATACATAGATTCAAATTTGTACAAATCATGATCCCTTGGAGAATAGAGGGACCATAACAGGGGATCATACAAAGGAATACAAAGGATATTCTTTGATCTTATCATTGTTCCCTTTAATTTTTCTGATCTTTGTTTTCTAACTCTTCCTTATCCTTTTCTAGGTTAGAACCTTCAACCTTATTAGTACTTTCTTCCTGTTCTTCATATTTTGTTTAGTTTTTAATATATAAGCCCCTATCCCTGCAGTTTTTACTTTTCTTCAAATATGTATAATGAGATATACTCTGTCCTCTGATCTTCATTGAAAGAACTTCTAATAATAGTTGATCACTTATCTGAAAGATAATTTCATTATCTTGAATGTGAGCAAAATTTTCAATATTATAAACAGGAATCATATACTTTGTTTTTAATATGAGCTATTTTTTTTCTTTTTCAACATATTCTTTATCATGCAAAAGGGAACTATTATTTTTCCATAGACCTTTGCTTTTTTGAAATCTTGTAGTTTGAGTGAAAGGATTACTGAAAAATGATCAGACCTGTAACTTGTTCAACAAAACATTCTTGTACACTATTAAACAAGGAATTGGAGACAAGAAAATAATTAAGCCTTGCTAGCTTCATGGTTTTTTTTTCCTTTTCCATGTATATTTGTTTTTGGAAGTGATTCTCTAAAAATATCTAACATATCTAAATCATCCATTGTTTTTAAGATAATATCTCAGGCATTAGGAATATTTATGTTATTTTTTTTGTAATGTTTACAATCTAAATTAGGGTTCATAACAAAATTAAAATCACCACAAAGATATATTATTTTCAAAATCTTGTGCTTTCCCTAATACATCTTCAAAAAATCTTGTGAATATCTTGGGCCATATTGACTCACTATTCTGAAATGATATAATTGTCATTCCTGTCCTTTATTCTCTATGAATAACAAATTCAAATGTGTTGTTAAAAATATTGCAGTGCTTCTTGCATTTGATTCAAAAGAGCTGAAATAACATTCGTCATATCCCCATTCAACAGATAGGGTTCACCGTGAATGTAAACAGTTGACAGGGCATGTTTACTCCTCCTATACACCTGATCCCACCTCTAGTTTTTCCAGTGGTCCGTGCTTTATGCCCTATTACATTCCTTTTGTTAACTGGATTTATGAAATTGATCGCTGTTTGTTATCTTCGTTTTGTACACACCATCTCAGTGAAAATGAATAATGTTTAAAGATTTCTCAATATTAAGTCAGAACATTGTGATTATCTATCTGTATTTTTCTGACACCACTTTCAGTATCTTACATTTAATTCACCTTGGGGAGAAAAAAAATTATACAATAAACAGTATTAAAATTTAAACCATAGAAAAAAAAATCTTACCTTTTTACAAGTCCAGCCTTTCTGACATACGTTTTGCGTGGACTTTCTGGATCGGGATCGTAAAACGCATCAACATTGAATCTCTCATTAGGGATATTTACAACATGATCTTCTCCATTAAGAAGAACTCTCCAGAATTCCTCTATATTGTTAGCCCCAGGAAAAATACAACCGATGCCTACGATAGCAATTGTAGTGTCTTCATCCATTGTTAGTGTGAGATATTTCAATATTTACATAACTAGATTGCCTATGATAATGTTTTTAGATAAATCATTTGTAGCTGGTCTCTGTCTTATTTTCAGAAAACACTAGTGTCGGTATTTATAACACTGCCAAAAGTCGTTGAAAGAAATTATGTCATGCTGTTTTATTGGTTACCAAAACAAAACAGGGGAACTCCGCCTTTTTATTCTTAAAATTGCGAATCAGATATTGATTAGTTATGCAAAATGTACAATTACTTCAGTGACATGTCTTAAGTTCTGAAAAGAGATAATATCACTGCTGACTGATTGGTCATCAAACGGAACTCCGCCTCTTCTAATAATGACTCAAAATACAGCTAACTAGAGAAAGGGAAAGAGAGAGTAATGCATGATTGCTATAGCAGTCGACCGAAACGGATAAAAAAATTCTATGCAGCACATTAAATGTCTGATGCCGGAAGTTGAATACTAGAAGGTATCTTTTATAGATGATCTGGAGAAAAACTGGAACATTTCCTATTGATATTTGATATGTATCAGGGGACAGAAATTGTTTAGTAGTTTAGAATTTATGATTAATATGTTGTTGAATTGTGAAATTGATATAAGTTTTGATTTTTATACCAGTTATCTATAAAATAAAATTTCTGGAACTTAATATTAAACTCTGGAGAATTTTAAACACTTGCTCCGTGGTTATACTTTTATTTTCGCATTTTGTTCTTTGTAATCAATTCAACAATATCTTTACTCTTTTAAGCAGAAAGCCCCTATGGAAATTCGTTTTAAGAATGTAATCAATGTTTTTGTCTCTTTCATAAGGAAAGAAATGAAGCATGTAATAATTGTTTTATTCTAGAATTATCTTATTGACTTGTTTATTTTTAAATAAAACTGTAAAATTTTGATACAGAATATATCTTTAAGATAAGGGATTTACATTACAAACAAGATATTATAAATAAACATACCAAACTTTAAGTCTTTGTTTAACATAGATCCTGCGATGAAATATTACTACTGTTAATACGTTAACTGTTAGACTGCATATAGATAATCTTGTGTAAATATATTTTATATCTATGTCCGTTCTTCTTATGTATGTTTCTGTATGCGTTTCCTTTTTTAATGTTTTTTTTAATGTTAACGTTTCTATGAATATGTCGAATCATGTAAATTAAAGAGATAACTTCAGCTATTGCTATGTACAGAATATGAAGATTTTGTTAAAGCCCTCTTTGAAAGTGAAAAAAAAATAAGTTGCCATTATACCATCTTTATTTAAGTCATATGCGTTTTCGTAATGGCACACTTAAATCTGGTTTCCAAAAATCATAAAACAAATATTTGCTAAAACGCATACCCTTTATGGAATTTTCAATGCTCAGTCAGCATATGGCTAAATATAGATAATATTTGTATTACCTTTATGTTTAAAAAAAAAATTCTGTTTTCACCTTGGACAAAAATTGCCTTACTTTGTAATGCTTCAAAGTAATTTTGAATTGTTCAAATTAAAAAAAGCAATATATCATAAATATGCCTTATATAAGCAGTAATATTCAAGTCAATAACTTGCCATTCCTTTCGTCAACAATAGTAGTCAACGATTTGTTTAGGCGAATTTGAGCCTGAAAATTGATAAAAAAAAAAAACTGTCTATTAGCGCTAGTTATCTCCATTTGAAACTCTTTTGTGTGGATGTATCAGGACTTACATCCCTATTGCAACTCATTTATGTCGATGTAGCAGGATTGGAAGTTATATATAGAATGCAGAAAAAATCAAAATGAAATAATCCAAGGGATGAGATATAATGACAGAAACTTAGTAAGTATGATTGTCTGCAAAACTGTGATTATTGATTAAAAAAAAAAGGTGAAGATAACGAACATGATCGAACTCAAAAAATCAAATAATACAAATATGTGAACAGGGCAAAAACACGCACCCAGGAAATTCAAGCGATGGGATAGGTGTCTAGGAGGAGTAAGCATCCTCCGTTGACCGGTCAAACCCGCTGTGAGCCCTATGTATTGATCAGGTAGACGGAACATTCCCTAGTCAAATTTAGTACAAACAAAGGCCTAACAATTATTATGAAAAACTATAAGCCAAATTATGACCCGATAATAGGTTATATTGGTTAACAAGGTCATTATAACGACAATAGAATTTACGAAATGCTGAGTTTAAACGAGCCTGTTGAAATCCTTGTAACATCAACTTATCTGTTAGTAGCCTGCCACCGCTTGAAAATTGATCGTACTCAGAGCATGCTCTTGAGTATCGAATAAGTTTGGAGACGATAACATAAAGTAACGAACATTATCGATCTCAAAAAATCAATACAAACTAGTGAAAAGGGCATAAAACACGGATCCATGGAAATGTGAGTGGTGGAATCAGGTACCTAGGATGACTAAGCACACCATGTTGACCGGTCACACCCGCGTTGAGCCTTATATATTGATCAGGTAGACGGAACATTCAGTAGTCATATTAAGTATAAAAACAAAGGACTTTTGGTTGGTATGAAACACGTCACCCGGAAAAAGAATAAATGATATGTTATATTTGTTTGTAATTATTAGTTGGCCTCTATTATCTATAATCAGTAAAACATCCAAATATGAAACAGATGTGGCAGACTCTGTGGTGCCTTTTATTTCAGGTTCACTGGGATGTATCGAGTCGACATATGAATAGGAGTAACTATTGTTAATTGATAAAACGTCGTCGATATATCTGAATGAGGAACTGAGGAACTCCCGCATCTTTAAGTATCAACTTCAGAGTACTTATATGCACAATCAGAGTGATTTTTAACAAAGTAATTTTGTTGATGACCAATCACAAGGTACACAATTTCTGAGATCCATTTTTATCGAAGAAGCAGTTGTTTATGATATCAGAAAGCCTCAATACTTTCGAGGTATAGATGTCTATGAAAGGAAAACGTCGGTTTAATTGCCTTTTGACAATCTGGCAACCATCCAGCATTTAAACATCGAAAAAAAAACAACTAGGGTATCAGTTAGTTACAATCCTTTTGTAGAAAAAAAGGTTGAAAGCGTTACCCGTTTCGGTTAAGGTTTTCCTTCTGTAACTTGGTGTGTCTATTCAAGTTTGTGTTTAAATTGTCCTTGTATTGGTTTGGTTGATTTTATTTTAATAGTTTATGCACTTTCTTTTCTCTAAATTATTGTTTTCAGTGTATATAAAGAAAAGAATAAAACAATAGATAATTAAGTATCTAACAATAAACAATGCATAGAAACTAAAACTTGAGGTTGTTCTAACATTAGTAGCTAAGCAAAAGTACATGTAAATATGCATATATATATTTATATAACATGTTCAAGAAGTAAGCAATATATGATAATAAAAAGAACATAGATATTAATATTTGAAGTTGATCTAATGTTTGTGAAATTGAACCCAGTCAAGTGTGCTTTTTTCACAAAAATGATATATTACATATTAATGTGTGCATCAACATTGGTACCGTATATGATTTAAAATAATGTCTTGTGCAATTTTTCTTTTATTTTGCAAACATTCTAGGTTACGTGAAACTTAAAATTTACCTATTTAAACTAATGAAGTTTTTTTTTTCCAAAGCGGCAGCATGTATACTACATGTATATGATGCTACATGTATGATAGAAATAAGAACAACATTTCTATGCTTGACATATTATCTAATGTATTAAGTTATGCATGACATGAAAAGGCAGGTAGGGTATGCGCGATAATGTTGCCATAATATTCATTAGATTTTTTGAGCCAAAATGAGGACGTAATGAGCTAAAATTTTTAATTAAGTTGAAGAATAGAAACCCAAACAAAGATTTACTACATGTATACTTAACAATAGCTTACTATTATTAACTACAGTAAATATTTTGTTCCTTTGATCTACCTTGAAACGTCACTCTAGAACTCTTTTTGAGATTTAAGGCTTTAGTATCTCTTTCATTACATTTTTATGCTGTAAATTGTAGAAGTGACATACGAATATACAAGTAATAGTTTCTTTTTATATCAAAATTGCATATAAGACATGGGGAAAGTGAAATAGAGCAATTTTAAATTCATTATAAAATACTTCCATTTACTATATAAAAAAAAACTAAATTTGATTTACTATAGTGAAAACTTTGATACTATAGGAAACTTAAGTTAACTAAAGTAAACTATAGCTTACTACACTCTTTTTTTTCTTGGGTAGGGAATGTCAGTATTTTACACCATAATAATCAAATGCTAAGCTAAAAGGGATACTTCTTCCGTGGACAAAACTTCGTCTAGATCTTCGTCATTTCTAATTTTTTGTCAGAAAATATTCATTTTCTTTAATTCAAAATGCAACACAGAAAAAAAAAATCTTAGTTTCAAATCTAGCAATCGATTACTTCTTAAGACTCACTTCATAGCATTTATATTTATTACTTTAAATTACAATGTAAAAAGGTTTAAAGACAAACTTAGTAAATTACTGTTCCAAAATCAAGAAACCTCCGGCACGTTCAACCTAAAACAGTGTTCTGTCATTTGTCCCATCCCATTTAATTATGGAATTACGGCTGTTCATGAATTAAGTAATGTAAAGTCTGTGTATGAGTATTAAATCATTTTAGCAAATACCCTACTCAAAGCATATTTTGAGCAAAATCTTTCTTGAAGACGTCCTTAAATTGCACTCTTAAACCTTAGACTGGATTTCAACTCAAAACAACTTCATACAGAGCACATTAAGCTGATAACTCAATAGCTCAGTGATATTTTTATTTTAGTATATACATGTATATTCAGTAAAAGTCATCATGAATATCCATTATCATAAAAGTGAATTTTCCAAGAACAAATTTTACATGCGTAGTTATAAAGTTAAAATGTCCAATTTTTGCTTTCACTATCTTATGTTGACTATGAATAATAATGATTTTTGAAGCTAAAATATCATTATGTCATAAACTCGAAAATGAAAAGCATATTATGCCAAAATTTTTCAACTGGGGTTTTCCTTACCTTATAAATCATATCTTTAAAAGAAGCACAAAAGAGAAGAAATATTTTGAACGTCACCAAAGAATGATACACAGTTCAAATCTAAGCATAGACAAATTAAAGAGAATAAGAAATATGTGTAAGTTAATTCCCTGAATTATTAAATATTTTAAAGAATGAAAATAACCCCTCCCCAACCCCACCGCATCCCCGAAAAAAAAATTGCTCGAATTTAATTGCTTATGTTTTGAATTGTTTTAAATTAGGATATAGAAATACGTATATCATTTTTTAGTTTTCCCTAGATTCAAACATCTCCTTGATTATATTTGTTACGTGCTTAGTTGACAAAACAGCTGTGAGTGCTGTGAGGAGATTTCTCCGGATAAACTAGGTAAAGGTTCTGCCACAGGAACATGGTCATCTTTAGAATAGCGTTCTCCTTTTAAAACTGGGGTTGGTTCAGAAATTTGGCCATTCTCATCAGAATGCCCTACACGTGTCTTATTTGATTTAGTGATCCACGGAATAAACGCATATAAAAATAAAGGAAGGAAGAAGGAAGCATGTATCAGACCAAACCCTATGACAAGAAACATTAGAATACCAAATGAATTAAATATATAGCTTCTCGCAAATCCTAACATACATATCCCCAGTAGTGTTGAAATCGCGGCATTCACGATAGGACCACCAGCCCGATCTAAAGCATTTTCTAAAATAATTTTTCGATTTTCTCCATCAACTGAAATGAAAGCATGACAGATATGGACGCTAAAATCTACAGAAAAACCAACACTCATAACCAAATGAATCACGGATAAACTAGGTAAAGGTTCTGCCACAGGAACATGGTCATCTTTAGAATAGCGTTCTCCTTTTAAAACTGGGGTTGGTTCAGAAATTTGGCCATTCTCATCAGAATGCCCTACACGTGTCTTATTTGATTTAGTGATCCACGGAATAAACGCATATAAAAATAAAGGAAGGAAGAAGGAAGCATGTATCAGACCAAACCCTATGACAAGAAACATTAGAATACCAAATGAATTAAATATATAGCTTCTCGCAAATCCTAACATACATATCCCCAGTAGTGTTGAAATCGCGGCATTCACGATAGGACCACCAGCCCGATCTAAAGCATTTTCTAAAATAATTTTTCGATTTTCTCCATCAACTGAAATGAAAGCATGACAGATATGGACGCTAAAATCTACAGAAAAACCAACACTCATAACCAAATGAATCATGGTAATGGAACTCAAAGTGAGGTCCCAGTAGTACATAAAACCAAATATTCCGGCTAGGATACTAATTAGAGTCAAACACACAATTATCACAACTCTGAAATCTGGCATGAATATAAAAGTCACAACAAGCATGACAGCAACCGCAATTCCTACAGTTTGAAAAGTACTGGACAGAATTTGTACATACTGTTCAAAAAATACAAAAGCGGGGGTATAAAGAATGCAAGGAAGTTCAGTACTATCTGTAATTTTACGCATTCTTTTCATAAAGTCACCTTGCTCATTCGATGTCTTCATGTTTTTCGACTTCAAATAAAATCTTGATGACAATATTTTCAAGCTAGATTTGTCTAAAACCAAATCGTTTGTAAATGCCTGACCCTCCTGTGATCCCAGAAAGTTGATAAGACCACTGACGAAAGCGGTTTCTGATGAAGAGTCATAAACTGCAGAATTTTTGTAGTTTTCAAGCCAATTTATTTCAGCTTGTGCATCAATGTGACTGTCCAATTTTGTTTGTGATAAGACGGAGTTTAAAAGATTTTGTGTTTCATTCCTATGATAATCTTGAACCTTTGTCACACACAGGGTAATCATAGGTTCGGTAGTGAAGTAATCTTCATCCAATAGACTGTACTTATAAAAATATGAGTCTTTTGAAGCCAAGTTGAATAGTTGTAGACCTTGCTGAAGATTGATACAGCCATAAATAGAAGCTCCGAGAAAAGCAAGGAATACATGTACAAAGATGATCACGATTTTGCCCACTGTATGATTTAGAACAAAAAGGATAACTTTTTTAGGATATTTTTCCATAGGACTTTCAACGTCAAGTCTTGTTTCGGGAATTGATCCAGGAACACAAAGAAGAAAACATTTTGATTTCCCTACGTAATCTTCTTTTCTTTTTACTTTTTTACAGGAGATGCAGAAATGCCTTTTATCTTTTGTTCTTTGTTCATTGATTCTCATAGCGGGACAAAAGAAGAATAGTTGATTTAAATAGCAAAAGAAAACGGACACACCTGAAATGATTTAATATAAAACATTTAAGACCATTTTAAATCATTTAGGAATTTATCTTGTATAATTAATAAAGATACTGTTTACATAGAAATTTCCAACCCGTTTTATTTTCGTCCCTTTAGTCCTCGCTAATATTGGTAAAATTAGAATAGAGAAAAATCAAATTCCACAGCATTGTATCTCTTTATCGAAACTGTTTCTGGGAACAGTTGAAACGGCACAAAGTTGTTTGCAGGTATGAAAGGGCAAAAAATAACATGGACCGAAAGTAACTTTGAATATATGATTCTTTTTCATTGAAATACTTGTTATCATATTTATACCTGTGTAAATGCAGAAATTCCTGATACTTTTAAAAACAGAGGTTGCACCAATAGCAAAGGCCAACAAATCCGTTAGGGATGTTATAGTTATAGCAACTCCACTTTTTTTCATCATGAACACCATTCTGTCTTTTATTGTCACTTTAGTAAGTGGGGACGCATCTGCCATTCCAGACATGAGGATAAACATATCGTCTATTCCAATACCTAAACGACAATTTCAAATGCACAACTGAATAATTCCACAGTAAATATTGAAAGAAAACAAGGTAGTAATCCACAAAATACTGAAGCTAGTCTTCATGTATTGTGAGCTGACTAACATTAGATCGAAGATGAATTACAAAAACAAATTTGATAAAAATATCTACAGAGTTTGAAAAATGCATATGTGTCTCTATGGTAAATCGGATGTTTATTTTAAGCATGAATATTTTACTTCGAAAATTCAAATACTCACCAACAACCAAAAAGGGCATAACACCAACAATATTTGTGAATTCGACTCCTATAGCACTGACAAAACCAAAGGCTGAAGCAATGGCTAAAATTGGTGCAAGGATCCCAGCAAACCCTAAATTCATGCGATTTGCAGCGTTATTGCAATTAATAGATAAGGAGGCAATGGAGGCATATGTCATCATTAGGGCAAAAGTTATTGAAAAATATTGAATGTCACTATTTGTGTTTTTTGTTAGTTCTGTTTCAAGGGAATCTGAATATGCATAAGCAATGTCTGTCAAATTTGTCTGTATGTTTTCAAGTTTGGATGCAAAAGCCTTTTCCCATGATTTGGAGAGTTCTCGCACAGATGCATTGTAATGTTTTAAATAGTACTGCAGCTTAACACCAATGGTAGAAGTTAACATTCCATTTTCCGAAACAGCATTGGCAAGGAAAGGAGACAATGTGTTTTGGCCGAAGAAGGGATACGTTACGTTATTCATAACAAAATTGTTTTGAAATGTTTGTGATAATAAAATGGATCCAGAAATCACATCGACAGGATCGGATCCTGCAGATATGTCACTAAAGGTAAACACAGTTCCGAAAGAATCCGTAACTGTAATGGAGGTGTTTATCACATTGTGTATGCTATTTATTTCGTACACATAAGCTTGTGTTTTTATATCTGTCTTTTCTTTTGAAAGGATCATCACACTGCCATATAATCCAAAGTCGGTAAGTTGGTATGAACGAAAATGACTGTCCGTCGGATCACCATATAAGTTTCGTAAGACAGATCGATCTTGTATTGCTTGGCTATCCATGGGAGTGTAAAGGGTTTCGACATCATTTTCTACTTCTATTCGTATCAACCCTATTGTCAAGAGTAAGTTTACAACAATACAGCAAACCATTATTCGAACGGGATAGTCTGAAATGAAGGCACCAAGCTTGCCAAATGAGTTGTGAATTATATCTTCCCATTTTTTATGACACATCTTACAGCAAGGACTGCAATTAGGTGCCATTTTCGCCTGAAAATATTTTATAAACACATAAATAAATGGTTACGAATTCTTTTTAGCTTGTTTGTCCTGATTAAAGCGAGCGCAGGGAGCGGTGCAAGAAATGTCTCTTTGAATGGCAGATTGAGTTAAGTTAGAAAGTAATGAACACACAACTGCGCTCGCATCAAAGGTAGCATTTCATCATGTCATTGATTCTTCAATTTCTCTAACAAGAGAAATATTGAAAACTATAGTTTCTCTAATTAACTATAGTTTAAAAGTTTTACCTTAGTAAATTAAAGTAATTTAACTATGAAATTCAAATTGATTTGTTTTATTCCTTTAAGCCTCACATGCATTTTTATAGTCACTGGAAATATTACATGAACTTATATATTGACATGCATATGTTATTTCTAAAATTTACATCATTGGTGTGTAATTGAGATATTAAGGCCCTAGATCTCAATAAAAAAGTTCTGGAGTAAATTTTCAAAGTAAATTAATGTATATCAAAGAATTTGCTATAATTTGTGTCGTTAACTATAGTAAACTCTATATAATTATAATATTTTTTTAAGGATTACGAAGGAGTTTTCGAATAAGTGGTTATGCTTTTTGTATCACCAACATCCTTGAATTAACAAGTATGAGTGCTTTGTGAAACAAAGACTTGTAATTACCCCTGCGTGTTTAGCAAAACCATTTTAGGTCACTTTCTTCGCAAAGTTCATCTCAATTTTGATAAGGTCTAATGGGGTCATTTGCATATCTGCTAAATTAACAACTTATAAACAGAAATTAAAAAAAAGAAAAGAAATAGACACATTTGATTATAGTTTGTTTCAATAAATTTATTAACTTCTAAATTAAGATAAAATTTTTAGGGAGTCTTTAACTACATTATACTCTAAATCTTTTTGCTTTACTTTTTAAGTGAATTGCTCATAGTATTTGTGTCTATAGATATCTAATTAAGCCATAATGCTACCCTCTATAGAAAGATTATGATATGAAATAAAGTGCAGGTTGGGGCATTAAAAATAATTAAAAATAATATTATCATAAATTCATTATTGTTTGTATCATGCTTTTATGTATATTACATAAGAAATAAACAACAATGTTAAAAAGATCTCTGGGAAATGAACTTGGTTGGTCACGTGATCAAATCCTTTGAAGCCCGAATGGCTTCTCAGAAGATTTGATCACGTACCAACCAAGTTCATTTGCCAGTGAACCTTTTTTACATTGTTGTTTATCACTTTTATTTACATTTGAGACGAATATTCTGAAAGAACTGCATTTATTACACGAACGGCCCGCCGTATTGCTATGTTGTGATGTGCAATGACCTAGAAGCTGTTTGGTCTTGAGAGTTCGCCTCGCTCCAACATTTGAATACTTACATTGATGTTCAGCAGTCCAGATCAGGAAATATCTGTTCATAATGAAAAAACAATGATCGCTACTGGGAATAATCTTACTATTATTGTATGAGTTCTTTATATATGAAGTCAAAAGCGGTGGTATCGTCTTCAGTTTACATACCTTCAAAGGAATTTCGGGTTAAAAAGGTAATCGTGATTTTAGGCTAATTAAAATATTTTTCACACCGAAGAAAGAACTAATGATCATTTGTTGAACGAAAAAAAATTATCTTTTCATCGCTTTAACGGTTTAGAAGTTCGGAAACCAGTTTCACCGTGACAGAAATATGTAGACAAGATATCATTTCACTGTGTGATTCGGTCACGCCATAACCTCTCACCCCCTAATAAGTTCATACAGAATTGAACATATTTTCTCTTCAATAGATTCATCTAAGAAAAATATATGCAAATGTAAATAATTGAATTTGATTTGTCCTGAAACATTTGGTAAAAAACACTATTACTCTCTAAATTAGGAAACCAAGCACGCCAGCGCAAACATAGAAACAGTCAGCACTGCTTCACGACTGGTGATATTTAAATAAAATGGCTGCACAAAATTTATGAGCGACCGTTTCACCTTTATTTGTATATGTATAAAACATTAAGTATATTATAGTGAATGCTACAGGTTGTTGAAGGTAACGTTGAACCCCTCGAAAACCATTGACAGCATCGGCTGACGATGGTATTCTTGGGGTGAATTTTCAATGTTACTCTCAACTACATGCAGTTTTTATATAAGATCATTTAAAATGGTAAACAGAAGACATCTAAGCAATGATAAATCATGCTCTTTTACATAAACCTTCTCTTCTAACAAAACATCAATTTTGAAGTCCATTTATCACTAAATATTTACATGCAGTGCATTTTTATTTGTCGAAATCCATTGGAAATCTAATAAGTTCAATCGGCAATGAACATGCACTCTAAACCTTGTAACGGCGAAAGAATACGCAAAAAGAACTACAGCTCGAAACACTTTTAACTGAAACTTTTGTGAACTAACTAAATACAAATTCTGTAAATAAATATATTGCTACTAAACAAAGGTGCAAACATAAGATATGATGAATAATAGAATTAAGCAATGTTTTAATATTCAGGATTGATAATTTACTTTTACTCTGTTTGCACTAATTGAAGAATGGTACTTACACACTTGCGCACTTACGTTAAAAACATTTCATTAAACTCATTATTCACGTCTTTTTCATAATACCATTCTCCTACAAAATGACCATAAATGAACCAGCATGTGTATTACTTTTGAAAAGTTAACTTAATTTTGGACATTTACTAAAAGGTTAAGGCTTTTTAATGAACTATGCAGTGTTTTATTAAGGACTAGTCAACTATTTAAAGATGATAATCAAGGAAAAGCATCGAATGTAAACAAATTCTATGAATATCATATCGATATCTGGGTTTTTTTCTGTTGATACATTTTTAGCAATTTTACGCAAGCAGGACGTTTGCAAAAAAAGGTATTTGCCTGTATAAAAAATCAATCAATCAACAAGACATAAAAGTCAATCATATCTGTTTATTAGGTTTGTTCAATGGTGGAGAATGATATGTATTTAAAACCGAATTTCTTTGTTTAATAACGTTTAATGCCTGCTGACTGTCGATTTGACAAGGTATCTTCTGCTATAATAGTACAAATTTGTTACTGCTATATCATTATGTATATTTGTATGTATTTAAAAATAAATATTAGTGCCAAATAGAACACACGACGAACTGGAAGTATTTCACAGAATTCCAGATCAATTAATATTATTTTGTTTTCAGAATAAAAATAAAAATGTAAAATTATTAAACAATTGGTTTTGTTGATTTATCCTAGTGCTTCGCGTTTTTTGATTTTTGTCTTTTATTTCATTTGCCTCTTTATCATGTTGATGACAGTCTTACCTTCAAACTCCTAACTCCTTATTTATTTGGCCATATTTCCTTTGCAGAAATAACAGACATATGAGTACCTTCTTCTTTAATTCTTGTCTCTGCTTAGTTTTTGTTAAAATATTGCATTTAAACTCTTAGATACCCCTGTTTCCAAGGAAAATAAAAACAGTCTGCTAACCATTGTTAAAATATCGATTTGTTGGTTTCACATGACGTATAAATGGAAAAGCTTCCATGAGCTCTCACAGTTCAATGATTTAGGTCAGCTTACTTCAGACTCTGACTAATGCCCATATTTTGTTTAAATATTCCGTAAATCCAAAACTGCATTAATCGTATTTATTCGTAATTGCAGATGAATTTGTCTGTATAAAAATGATTGGTTCTGCATATAAATATAAATAAAAATCGCCGTTGAGCAAGTGGGATACTTCCTCCCCACATGCTATGCAAACATTCGCTCAATAAATGTGTCATATTTCAATTCACACATAAATCAGTGCACGCTTTTTTTTGGTGAATAACCTCATTGATTTATAATTGAAATGTTGATATTTATTATAACACAACATAATTTAACTCTTCGAATGTGTTCATTTCGTGCATTTGTCTTATCAAATGTTTAATTCTGACAAATCTGTGACTTTCTCGCATGAAGCAAAATAGCAAATATGTATAAATCTAATAGTCAATGTAATCTTGAATGTAAAACCTTAGAGACATGTCAAAACTACTTCATCGATATGTTTGAATCTAATGCTTGATCATTTTTTTTCTTCAAATAAATATTTTTTCATGTCGATAACAAATATAGGAATAAAATCAATCAAATAATAGAGGGTGCTTTAATAGTCCAAAAATCATCTGAACAAATGTATAAATATATAAGGACAACTAAAATAAGACTATGTACAAATTATTACCCAACCAGTTCAGACACCTGTATATTTTCGTATATATACATAGGGCTACTGTTAGAAACATAAACAGACAAGTTATTAAATTACTGTAAGTCACTAATTTCAGTGGGGCTTTACGTTTTGTTGTTTTCTAGGTATACAGAGACCCATGTATTCATGTCCTCCACGAAATGTAAAATTTCTAATATATTATAACTTAAGCATTTCTTCACCAACGAAATCAATTCCCCAGGTACCAATAATTTGTCCACGAACATTGAAAATCTGACCCCGCGAAAACATGTGAGTTTACAGTATACTTTATGCTATCTATTGTGACTGTTGGCTGAAATGTACGTATCTTCACACAAAATGGTTAAAATATCTACGATTCATATTTTAAAAAAATTATGAAACGAATGATATTTGAGAGAAAAAAAATCAGTTATTTATAGATGAAATATGGAGATAACGAACAGTAATCAAGCTCAAAAGTCCATTGAAACAATACAAATCGGGAGCAGAGCGAACACGGACCTCTAAAAAACATCAGAGGTGGCATCAGGTGCCATGGAGGGGTAAGCATCTCCCCACAAAATTTACACTCCGTGATTTTACTGATAAAGCAATGAAATATAGAACTGATTTTGCTATTTTTCGATCATAAAAATTAATCAATATATTGACAAACAAATTTATAAATGATCAAAAAATATTTTTAATCCAACGAAAGCTAACATTGTCTGCATTCCGTTGCAATCAAAACACA